ATATATATATATATATATGTATATATATATAGTGACGCAACCATTATAATTGTAAATATTGTATGTTTTGCGATAATGCTATTTGTGAACAAGTTTAATTGTTTGTCCCCTAGTTAAAATTATTCGTACTGTTGTTCGCCTCACAATAAATTACTAATGCTTTCTCCAAGTTTTCAAGAGAACATGAACTCTCTTACCGGTCAAGAACATTTCATTCGCCGAAATCGACTATTCTACGTCAACATAGATGATGGGTGCATACTTAAATCTCGTCACGTGTTCATCCGGAATGTTACCGGCTACGGGTAGCGTAAACCGCTGGAGGCAGCGTGCGTCAGGGCGTCTACTTTATTCATAGAACTTTGAATAGAAATACTTTTGTAAGTACAGACAGTGAAAACAATGTGAGCAAGTAGCAATATACGTGCTTGCTGACAATGACAATCTCATCTACACAAATTGAAATGAACTACCACATTTTTCACAAAATATGTAAATTGAGCTGAGAAAAGTACAGAATACAAAATAATGTAGCTTCTATTTTTGTCGTATATTGCAACGAGTCTCACCAACTTCTTCATGTCGCGATCGCTGCGTCACAGCAATTGAATAGTTTATTTCAGAAACCCGTCAAAAACCAAATTCCTTACGTCCAGAAAATTGAGAAAAAGTCTCCCAATTTATCTGATTTCAAAATATTTTTATTTGTTAAAGCAGTCTAAATGAATATTTTTCATATAAATATACACTAAACGATCTGTCTATTCTCTTGCAGCAATAATCCGTCGCTAATGCGTGTTTTAGATATTGGCATTTGATGGGTTTTTGAAATAAACGATTCAATTAAGGGCCCAGCGCACAGAGCGCTGTCTCCTACAACTACAGCTTTGGCAAGTCAGTTCTGTCTCGTACACATATTTTCAACTTCAGTCTATGAAACTGCACTCCTCCGTCACTGCGAATTTTTGTCAAGGTTAGTAAATCTTTTTCTACGCCATCGTGATCCTCCATCCCTTTCTCAACGTTCATGAGCTCTGTCACGTGGCTCTGTGCCTCTCGTTAGCATGTTCGGGGCGTTTCTCGAACCTTCTATCAACCTATCTCTTCGATTGGGTCGAGGCTATCCCACTCCTCAGCAACCTACATTTCCCTATCTCTAATTTGTTCTTCTAATCTCTATTTGTTGTTTTTAATTTGTTGTCCATATCTCTAATTTGTGCTCGCGTGGGGCGCACGGCTGCACCCTCTCCGTCGGCCACATGATTTTATGGCTTGGCCTCAGGGATTATCTGACGGGCTGCTACTGGGATGCTTAATGTGACTGTTCCGGCGCCAATCTGACCCTTCTCGAAGGAAGGGGTGACGCAGGGGCGTCGGGAGATTTATCGGGAGATATAATTCTCGCGAAGTGATGAAGCAACGTCACTGTCACCATCATTCTATTAATGTGTTTCTCTCTATTTCAATAAGTAATCATCCAGACTTGAGATAGTTGAATCGTATTAGTGAGAACACACATTGAATGCAAAAACATTTTTCCTTACAATAAACTGTGTTCCTGCTACTTCGACGGGTTGCACTTAAAAAAACTTCTCCGTCTCCGTGTAATATTGTACTAGTTAGTAAACATAATGCAACCCTTCGACCCAGAGCGGCCACACCTGAGATTCTCGATGCCGGGGCCGAATGGCTGGTAAGAGGCACGCTTGGCGCCCCATAAAAAAATTTAGCGTGTATACCCTGCTAAGTGAAATCGACCGACACACCTTATGTGTGATGGTAACCCTCCCATATAGTGGTGACACATCGGCTTAGTTTCCTCACATAATTTGCCGCCCAGCGTGTGTTTTATCACGTAATTATTTTCACAATATTGAAGTACCATACAAAGGAAACCATGAAACCTGTGTAACAAGATCAGATACAAAAGCACATCTGCAGTTGCTAGCATCTGACTAAGCAACTACGGCGTGTAAATTCACACTTTGCACTACCTTAAATTCTCGGCTATCCGGGAGACGCCGCGTCGTTGGCTGGGGTGCCCCAGCTAACGACGTGGCGTCTCCCGGATAGACGAGAATTTATGGATTCGAGCCACGGAAGCTTACGTGTACACCTTTGCACTACCTGCCGTGGAATGATGCTGCGATCAAAGGTGAGGCCAACAACGCACGGGCGAGTGGGAAACTTGCAGAGCCAGCCGATCGTACCGGCTAAAAATAAACGCACTCGTGGAAAACGTAGCCTCGCGGCGAGGGCAGAGGCCAATGCACGCGCATACTCGGGGTCGACAGCGATAGATTTCTTATTAAGATTAAGTTTTAAAATGGTTGTCACAATCTTCTTCATCTTCTTCATCTTCTTCATCTTCATCTTCTTCATCTTCTTCATCTTCTTCATCTTCTTCATCTTCTTCTTCTTCTTCTTCTTCTTCTTCTTCTTCTTCTTCATCTTCTTCATCTTCTTCATCATCTTCTTCTTCTTCTTCATCTTCTTCATCATCTTCTTCTTCTTCATCTTCTTCATGTTCTTCTTCTTCTTCTTCTTCTTCTTCTTCTTCCTCTTCTTCTTCTTCATCTTCTTCTTCTTCTTCTTCTTCTTCTTCTTCTTTCGAGTCGACGATGTCACAATATTCGAATCGATGGTTGACACAATATAATTCTATTTATTTGTTGTTCAGTCCCTTATATCAAATTATGGACATACACAATCATAAGTGCCAAATTTTTTTCACATAATAATTTTATTCACTGGTATCACTACGACGTTTCGAAGACTGTTTCGCCTCCCTCATCAGGTACAACTGAAAATTTAATTACAAAATTTCTCATGAAGCCAAAATTATTTACACAAAAATAAAAATAAATTTATACTGTACCCAATTCAAAGAATGCTCACCTGTTATAACAGAAAACTAAAACGAATATATATTGCATATAGCTTTTGTATATATTAGTTATTTTGTATATATATTGTAAATATTGTATGTAGTTTTTGTATATACTAGTTTTAGTTTTCTGTTATAACAGGTGAAATTTCTTTGAATTGGGTACAGTATAAATTTATTTGTTACTTTTGTAATTTTGTGTAGATCATTTTGGCTTCATAAAAATATTTATAATTAAATTTTCAGTTGTACTTGATGAGGGAGGCGAAACAATCTCTGAAACGTCGTAGTGATTACAAGTGAATAAAATTATTATGTAAAAACATTTGTGGCACTTATCATTGTGGTTGTTCGTAATTTAAAATAAGGGACTGAACAACAAATAAATTGATAGATCTCTTGTCAAGGTTTAACCAGACGCCGGGGTATTTGATGGGACGCGCTATCATCACTTTGAATAAATAGAACAAAATCTCGAAAAGCAAATAGAGTTACAGAGGCGCTAAAATCTAACAACGATGATTCCTTGACACAATTGCTCACCCAGTGGAATGAATCAGTTGGATCCTACTTGTATCGCACACTCATGAGAGCAACTCTACTTTCAGCATCAGAGCTATCCCGAAGAGAATGGATGAAACTTACAGAACCAAAGGGTACGGAAGAGGTACTAATTCTAGTGTGGTGGGACTATGGGCAGACTCCCTCACTCGAACTAGTGGTGACACATGGCACAGACGTTTCCGAACTAGTTTTCTAATTTCTTTGGTCTGGGTTAGCTTTTCGGTTTTGCCCCATCCTCTTGACAGCTTCCGTGTATCGCTGCCCAAAGTGATTTTCATTAATTTTGTATTTTTTGGTTTCCTAATAGTGCAGACAATATATTTCTTTAAGAATATTAAAGAAGAGAAAAACCTAGTCCTGCAAGGAAAATTGTGTTTAAAAATTTGGAGCCATTTTTAAGAAAACGTCGTTTAAGCGTTACTGTAAATTCGAAGTGTGAAGATCTTTTTTACAGAAAACATTTGAGTTTTCAAGAAACTTCAATGGAAGTCATTTGAAGGACTTTCTCTAACAAATGCAACAATATATACACGTAGCTGGAAAAGTGCATAGTAACAACGTGAGAGACATTAAAAAAATACATTTGGGTAATTTTTCAAACAAAAACGATTAGAGCAACATGGCTTTTATGTCGTCTTAAACAGCACAATTAGCACTATCCGTAAAACAAGTTTGAAAAAAACTTGGAGCTATTTTTGAGAAAATGGCATTGGATCGATTCACAAATTGAAGCGTGAAACCTGTATATATTTCATTAATTTCAATCAGAAATAACGCAAAAACTACTTGTTTTTTAAAAAAATTGTACATTATCTTTTCAAATGATCTAATATTGTACAACAGACTTTGAGCCAAAAATCTCTATCTTCAATTTTGTAGTTAAATTTTTTTAATTTAAAAAAGTCGAGCGATTGCGAAACGATTGCGCGTTTTTTTCCGTCTCTTATTACATATGTGGAGAAAATGAAGAAAACAAAACATTTGGAGCGGTTTTTGAGAAAAAAATTGTTTACTTCAAGCGCATATTACGCAAAGTACGTGTTTCAAAAAAACGTGCATAACCTTTTTTAAAGACCTAATACTATTAGGAAACCGAAAAATTAAGAAAATTTTTAAAAAAATGCACTTTGGGCGGCGATAGATGGTAGCTAGCAAGAGTATGTGGCAAGTCCAAATCGGCTTGCGAAACCAAAG